GCTCACAGTAACCTCCAACTCCTGGGCTCAAGCGAGTCTCCTGCCTCAGCCTTCCAAGTAGCTGGGACCACAGGCGCCCGCCACAATGCCCGGCTCTTTTTTGGTTGCAGCCATTATTGTTGTTTGGTGGGCCTGGGCTGGATTCAAACCCGCCACCTTAGGTGTATGTGGCTGGCGCCTTAGCCACTTGAGCCACAGGCGCCAAGCCAACATATTTTAATTAATATAACCCTATTTCTAAGTTATTTAGATATGTTCTTATGTCAATATTGAATCCGGATAATTTTTAGGCAAAATGCATCTGGGAATAAACCCAGGCAGCACAAGATTTGCAGTAAGTTGTCCTGGTAGAGGCAGTGGCAACATAGCTCACAGCAACCTCAATCTCTTGGGCTAAAGTGATCCTCCTGCCTCAGCCTTCCTAGTAGCTGGGACTACAGGCACCCACTGCAACACCCAGCTAGTTTTTCTATTTTATTTACTTTTTTTTTTTTTTGAGACAGAGTCTCAAGCTGTCACCCTGGGTAGAGTGCTGTGGCATCACCACTCACAGCAACCTCAAACTCTTGAGCTGAACTACAGGCCTCCGCTACAATGCCTGGCTATTTTTTTTGTTGTTGTTGTCGTTGTTGCAGTTGTCATTGTTGTTTTAGCTGGCCTAGGCTGGGTTCAAACCCACCAGCTTTTATGTATGTGGCCAGCACCCTACAGGCACTGCCAGTTTTTCTATTTTTAGTAGAAACAGGTCTCACTCTTGCTCAAGCTGGTCTCAAACTCCTCAGCTCAGGGAATCCACCTGCTTTGGCCTCCCGGAGGGCTAAGATAACGTGTGTGAGTTGCCATGCCCAGTCCCTACTATGTTTTTTTTTTTTTTTACCCATCTATGGAAACTTGAAGTAGTTGATCTCTCTGATTCTCAGCTATCTAATCTGCTAAATAGGGATAGTTTAACTTTTTTTTTTTTTTGCTATTTTTGGCTGGGGCTGGGTTTGAACCTGCCACCTCCGGCATATGGCACCTTACTCCTTTGAGCCACAGGTGCTGCCCCAAATGGGGATAGTTTTAACAGTTATACTAAAGAGTAGTAGTAAAGTAATTTAAATGAAGCGGCTCTGTAAAGTGTAAAGCTTTAGGCAAATATTAGTCTTAGGGTTCATGTGTGGACCTTTTTTTTCTCTCCAGAGATAAAGATCTTCTATACAAGCCCATAGCTTTGAGGCAAAATGTCTCCTAGATGGGGACATCTGTTTCTAGAAAAAATAATCATATAGAGATAGAAAGCATGTAAGGAATCATATCTCATTCAAACCCCCCCCTCCCACTCTGCTTTGTAGCTGAGGAACTGGGCATGCAGAAAGGAAGGGACTTTCAGAGTCACAGTAGACCCCGGGGACTTTGCTCCAACTGGCAAAACAAAGCCAGTGATCCCAATCCATGAGACCACAAGACCTCCTAGGTGAAAGGTGAGACTCAGGGTCCTTTCCGAGATAGACTTCCTGCCCTGGAGAGGGACCAGCCACAAAAGAGTGGCTCAAGGAAAGAAAGACCAAAGAAAGGCCAAAGACGACTCCTTTCATGTAGTAAACATAGGAAAGCAGTGGACATACATATGGTTCTAAAGGTAACATCTTTCTTTGGCACAGAAGATGGCCCCGCAGCTCCATTTTTCTTTCTTCCTCCTCTGTTCATTTTCTCAATGCCAGAGTGGCCCAGGATTCTATTTTTGGCTTTTTTTTTTTTTGAGACAGAGTCTCACTATGTCACCCTCAGTAGAGTGCTATGGCATCACAGCTCACAGCAACCTTCAACTCTTGGGCTTAAGAGATTCTCTTGCCTCAGCCTCCCAAGTAACTGGAACTATAGGTACCCACCACAATGCCTGGCTATTTTTTGGTTGTAGTAGTCATTGTTGTTTGGCTGGCCTGGGCTGGATTCAAACCCACCCGCTCTGGTGTATGTGGCTGGCGCCTAGCTGCTGGGTTACAGGTGCTGAGGTGTTGAGCTTTTTTTTTTTTTT